CATGATGTAGATGAATGTAATCTACTTGTTGTTTATAGACCCAAAGGATCCCTCAGAGCATTAAAAATCCATGCGATACCCAAGAGTGGCATACTTTGCATGGAGATATGTGATTTAGCTGAAAGCTGTATAAAATCTGTAAAACGGCATGTAGGCAAAGAGCTCCCTACTGCCTGTGCATTCGAGTGAAGCCATGTGTGCTTTTCCTGCACACATGAAAAATAGATGATCATAAAATCTGCTAGAGATTCACAAACTTCTGACAGAAACACGTGTCTAGGCTAAGTATGCCAACATTTGGTCAAACCAGGCCTGAAAATACACAGACCTGAAATAAGCATTGTTCTTCCACGGTGATGAGAGAAATTCCAGCTTCATACACAGCAAGTGCATATAGGTTGTGTGTCCTTCACTGGTCTTCTGCTGGAATTGGTAACATCCTTTCCTTCTGCCTTGGGTCTTTCAACTGGCAACTGGGCTTCCAAGTCTCTTCTGGTGGGATCTTTTGAATCAGACCCATGTTTTGTCAAGAAGAATTATCACTGAAAATTGGTGAACCCCACACTCCATTTTCTTTAGGCTTGGCTGTAACCGTGTTTGGGCAAGTCTCTTGTAGGTTAAATAGATTTTTTTCACTTTTTTTTCCTTTGGAACTACGAGTAGTGGTGGTAACTTGCAGTAGCTCACACACGTGTAGCTCTCATTCTCTCAAGAATTGTGCAGAGTGGGGTTTGGTTGGGGTTTTTTCAGTTCTGTAAATGTGTGTTTCATAAACAGGCTGTGATGTGGTGGCAACAGGGAAGAGGCTAACTCAAACGGCCCTTGTACATTTGGTGGGATTTGTTCTTAGCAGCTGCAGGATGTTAGCCCATACTTCTAGTGCTGGCTCAAAGAAAACATTGTTCATGAATATTAGCTGACCTGTAAGAAGCCATTTTTCGTTGATATTCTTGACCAAGGTTACCTTCCTAGGGTCTTTAGAGACATCAGACACAGGACATAAAGTGTTTTCAAGATGAGGATCTATTTAGTTAGCTTCATAGTCATAGCTTCATAGATAGAAAGGGAACGCGAGTTGTGTACCCAGAGCTTGTGTAGCTGAGGAGGTTTTTTTTTTCACTGATATTCTTGACCAAGGTTACCTTCTCTTTAGAGACATCAGACACAGGACATAAAGTGTTTTCAAGATGAGGATCTATTTAGTTAGCTTCATAGTCATAGCTTCATAGATAGAAAGGGAACGCGAGTTGTGTACCCAGAGCTTGTGTAGCTGAGGAGGTTTTGATACACTCATCTGTACCATTTGGCTTCTCCTAAGTTCTGGGAAACTTTTTGGAATCTGCAGCCTCCCAAGAGCAGCACAGCCAAGATATAATACAAGTGTGAATAACTGAGGTTGCGTAACTCCTCTCCCGTACAGCGCCTGCTGGCCAAGCACAGCAACAGAAGGCATTACTCACAGACGTGGCTACGTGGGCCTGGGATCAGGTGCAGTCTGGCCCCAGGCCCCCTCTGCCAGCTGCTGCTGCCCAGTCTCAGCTCAAGGAGTGCAGTGCACAGCCAAGACCCACCCTGCCCTTGCTGTGAGACATTTGAGGGCCTGCAACACCTCAAACAGCTGCTTATCAGCTGGGAGCTGATCTCCAGGCACAGGTACACATGGCATGGCCATGTGCATTGGATCAATCTGCATTGGTATCAGCTACCCTTGAATACACCCATCAGCCTGTTTCTTGTAGCATGAGCATCTCAAAACTGTGCAGGCTTCAGAAAAGCTCTACAAGAGGTGGGTTTAATACTTGAGATGTAGCCCTACCCTCATCATGTACAAGAAGGGCTCTTCCAAGAATGTTGTGATTATTTTTGCTGCTCATCTGGCATTAGAGTCAGACATGCAGCCACAAGGAACCCCACCGGTGGCTCAGTAGCATGACCTTGTGTTTCAGGGAGGAGATGCTGGTGGCAATTTGTACCTCACACCAGCCTAGCGCTGCCTGCGTGGTTTACAAGTAGTAGCTTTTGTGCAGTGGTGAGATGGGATGGGCACATCAGGGAGTACAAGACTGTAGATGTCAACTAGCCTAAGTGTTGAAGTATAGCTGGGAATAATGTGCTGCTGAGAGATTGCGTGTGCAGTGTCGCATTAAGAGGGTAGAATGCTTTGGAGCTAGGAGCTACATGAAAAAATTATTGTATCTCAGTCTCTACAATTCAAAAGAAATTGCTAGAGAGCATAATTGAGAAAAGGGACTTGTGGGTCTAGCTGTCCCTTTTGGAGCAGACAGATGCACTTTTTTTTATCTTAACAAAATGTTTTTATAAGTAGAGTTCTTATATCAACAAGGAAAATCTTTTAAAGGAAGATACCGGTGCTAGTCAGAGCAAAAACTGTCCCACAGTGCCATAAGGAGATTGCCCTGCAGATGCTTTCAGGTTCACAGGTTCATCATGTTCTGGCAATTCCAGGACCTCTGGTGGAACTTCCACATCCCAAAGTCTGAGAACCAGCATCCCAAAGTCTGAGAACCACTCACACAGCCAGCAGCGCCTGTTGTGTGAGTGGCTGAAGATGAAGCAGGGTAATTGTTAGTCAGCACCGTGGCCTGCAGCTCGGTGGCTGTGGTGTTATACAGCACTCTGGGGACAGCACGGGCCAGAGCCGGGCTCTGCTGCTGGATTTAATGGTACTCCGTGAGCGCCAGGCACACTTGTGGGATCCTCTGGAGCCTGAGTTATTGTGGCAGGAGGGACACGTCAGAGAGGCTCTGGCTGCTCGTCTGGGAAAGACTGACCTAGCAGTTCCATTCCCCATGTGGGCTGGTTAAACTGGTCCAGAGATGAGGCCAGCGGTGCCTTTATGACCTGTAGCTATGTGGAAATGAAGGCAGGCTGGGCTGGAAGAAGGGAGGAGAGTGAAGAGGAAGGGAAGAGAAACTGCAGGCTTTGCTAATTGCAGCCAGGGGAATGGAGAGAAGTGAGACCACACAGAAGAACCAGGGCAGTGGGGAGAAGAAACAAGGGGGGAGCAAATAGGAAGGGAGAGGAGGACATTCCCCTGGTGAGGCTGTGGCTGTGTGACTGTGGTACCTGTGGCCAGCCAGGACATTTTTGATTTTTAATCATCTCAGTGATATGTCAAGCAGAGGGCTGAGTTTTAACAAGCAATAATAAATATGAGGAAGAAAAAGAAGAAAGTTAAAACAAAAAGGAAGAGGGGACAGGGGAATAAAAGGAATGTGGTAGTATATGAAATAACTGAATGGCATGAAAAAGCCACAAAAAGAGATAAAAGGAATGAAAAAAATTGATCTGGCACCAGGTGCTCAGCTGGCAGATGCTCTGTAAGCCCACAGAAGATGAAGGATAAGATTCGGTACAACCACTAGCAGGCAGTAAAAAATTAGTATTTTCTTTCTGCTTAGGTCTTGATTAGTAAATAGGAAACTGTAGGCACGGATTCGTGTGGGTCTTCATCAGAGCTTGAGAACATATTGGAATGTGCAAATTGATACCCTTTAATTGTAGGAAAGGCTTCTGGAGTACGGGTGGGCAGAAGAGGTCAATACAGAGAGCAGCAGGTGGGCAGAGCGAGGAGCAGACACAGATGTATATAGGAGAAAGGAGCCAGAAGAAAACCTGGTTTAGAGCTTAGGGAGAAGCTAGAGAATACCTGAGCGTGAAGTATTCCTTGGCTCCCGCATACCATGCCCCCGTATGAAGGGATAACAAGCAGTAGTAGTGGTGTAAGGATTTGTGTGGACACTCAGGGGTCGAAAAGGAGGTCATGCTGTCGGGAACAGCAAACTTCCAGCAGGGTACCCTCGCCCACGCTCGGGGGTCTCAAGCCCAGAGGGAGCGTACCCTACTCCCGCCTGCAGCGCCCATTCTCGCAGCTCTCCGGTGCGGTGCCGGAGCCCTGGGGGATGCCGAGCTGCCCCCATGGGCGGAGGAGGGGGCGGAGGAGGGGCAGGGCCAGCCCAGCCCAGCCCGGCATCCGCGCAGAGCCCCGGTCCTGCTGCTCCGCCGGCGGCTCCCACCGGCACGGGCGGCCGCGGGGTCCAGCGCCCGTGTTTAGAAAGCGCGTCCCTGCTGCCATCTGCAGAAATCGATCCGATCTTTTTTTATTATTCTCCAGTCTAAGGCGTCCTTGTTGCCCAAGCCGCCGGCCGCCCCATCCCGCCGGCGGCACGGCCGCGCGTTGAGCGGCGCTCGGGGCCAGGGCTCCGGTTTAGCTGGCCCTGGGTGTCTGCCAGCCCCGCTCCGCTCCCGGAGATGCGGAGGAGGGGGCGAAGTTGGGCCGCCCCGAGCCCTGCGGCGGGGCCGGCGGCTCCCGACACCGGCCGCGGAGGGAGGCTGAGGGGACACCGCTGCCGTGCTCCCGCCGCCCGGGGAGCCAGCGGAGTCCCCCCGACCGTCCTGGCAACCGGCTGCTAAAACTGAAGCCCCAGATGGGAGGAGGGAGGAGGATGCGCGGCGCAGGGCGCAGCGGGGGAGGCGGCTCCCGCAGCCCCGTGGCACATCGCCGGCTGGAGGCGGCGGGATGCCGCTCCGGGGCTGCGCTCCGCCGCCGTGCCTTAGGTGTGGGGGGCAGAGCAGCCCTCCGTGCCAGCGTGATGGTGCATTTTCCTCCGGCTCCGTCGCACGGATAGCGGGATGGTGCCGCAGCCCGAGAAGACCTTGGCCGCTGCCTGCCGAGGCTGGGCAAGATCTTCCCTCTCTCTTTTCTCCCTGCTTTCCCCGCAGTGCTCGTTTCTTGCCCTCGTCACCTCTCCAGCCCAGTGTCCGCTCCAGACCCTACAGCCGTGACGGTGTTTTATTTTCCTAGCGTGATTAAACACCGGCACCCGCTCGGCAACTTCGGCAGCGCCCGGGCGTGTGCGCTGTGTGCGCGGAGCGTGTCACCGCTGTCCCTGCCCGCGGCCGCGCTTGCCACCTGCGGCTCGCCGCCGGCCGGGGCGCTGCGCGCACCTGTCTGGGCGCGGAGAGGCGCTGCCCGGCCCGCGCCCCGTCGGGATGCTCAGCGGCCCCGCCGCCCGTCCCTGCCGCCCGCCGCGCCGCCCGGGGGGCACGCCGCTGCCGGAGAGTTGAGTTAGGAAGTCATGGTGCCCTGGGAGCCCTCCCCGCCCCGGCAGTGCGGCGGCGGCGGCTGGACGCTCTGCGACTGCTGCTGCTGGCTGCTGCTGCCCGCCGTGCTGCTCGTCCTCGCCCGCCCCGACAAGCTGGCGGCCTTCCCTACCTCCTTAAGCGACTGTCAGACGCCCACCGGCTGGAACTGCTCCGGTAAGCACCGGAGCGCCCCGCGCCCGGCCCCGCCGTGCCCCGCCGGGCGCTCGGAGTTGTGCGCCCGAGCCCCGGGAGAGGCAACTTCAGAGGGTGATGCCGCGTCCCGTTGGATGCACGGGAATAGCGAAAGCCGAAAGTCCCGGGCGTCGGGGCTCGCCGCAGCTCCCGGGGCCCCGCTTGCCCCCTGCTCCGCGGAGCCGGGCGCGGCAGCCGCGCCCTCCGCCGGTGCGGGAGGCTCCCCGGGCAGAGAGAGAGAGAGCCCCGGCCCCGCCGAGCGGGGCACTCGGCGTGCGGCTGCGGGAGACGGGGCCGCGTGTGCGCATCCTGCGGGCAGCCGCTCCCGGGCGCGCGGAACGGAGAGCGGATCGCGGAACCGGCACCGCCACACCGGGAATCTGCTGCCCGCCTCGTAAAGTCGGGCTGACCTCTGTTACGGGTTTGCCGTGCAGGTCAGCAGCCGGTGCTCCTCCGATACGTAAAATAATTCGGGAATTAGCCTGTGGTAGCCTTCTAAGGGGAAGAGCGCTATTTGGGGTACTGCGTGGATCGCACATGACGTGTTAGATCGGGGGGAATTTGCGCTGTGAGCTCTTCGTCTTAACCATGTAGCGATACGGTTAAGAGCACTCGGATGTTTTTTTAAAAAAATCAATGGATTCAGATCTTAATGGGTTTGGAGTCTGATATAGCTGTTTTGTTTAGTATCTTGCCACTCGCTGTTGGAGTGGGAAGTCAGCTAGCGAAATCTGAAATTCATGCTTGTATTCGTGAACTGAATGTTCAGTCAGATCTGTTGGTTTTTCCTGGAGAATATGAAGGCAAAGAGCTCGGTTCACTCAGCGGCTCGTGGGGAACCTGGCACTTCTGCTGTTAACTTGGAGGTCATCAATCTTCATTGGGATCAGGCAGACCATCGCAGAAAACACACAGCCTGTTTGTCTTTATTATTGGGGGCTTTGTTGTGTCGTGGGCTGGAGAAATTCCGATTTGGACTTTTGTCCAACAGATTTGTGATCGGATGGGGATAAGTTGATGACATTTCCAACCCAGAGCCGTGAAATAGCATAATTACCGGGTGACTTTTGAGGAAACAGAGTCCGTGAAATAGGAAAAAAAAAAGTGTGTGAGGTAGTGGGGAATAAGAACTGAGAGAAACACCGAGGGAGAAACAAGAGGAAAAGTGAAAAGCTGAGGACAGGGAAGGACAAAAGGAAATCTGGACTTTATCAATTTCATCAACAAGGTTATTTTACTGTGTGCATTAAAATGCAATCACCCCGTATTGTTCCTCTTGCTAGACCAAAGCTGACTTTTTTTTTTCCTCTCTTTACATTTGAGGTTACGATGACAGAGAAAATGATCTCTTTCTCTGCGACACCAATACCTGTAAATTTGATGGGGAGTGTTTAAGGATTGGAGACAGTGTGACTTGTGTCTGTCAGTTCAAGGTAAGAAGATTGATATTTCGTTCTCTAATTCACTAATGAGAATACAAATCAAGGATCTGCCTTTATAACCTATCACTTGGCAATTTGTTTCTCTGTGTGCAGAGAAGTTAGAGGGAAAACCTGGCAGTGTGTATAAAAGCTGGCAGGAGAACCAACTGGTGTCAAGAAACCATAAGTTTCTCTGGGAAAATGCAGATGCTGTGGCTTTAAATGTCCCTTTGGGTCTGCAGTTCCAGGTTGTGCATTTCTGATTTTTCATCCCTGCCCTTTTAACGAGGATTTAGAGTCCTTTTTAAATTCATTTCTGATACAGATCATGGCTTATTGTATTCGGAGTTCTGATCTAGTTAAAGAAATGGATCTGTAATGTGCTTATGCAATATTTTCAGGAAGGGCTGCATAGTGACAATGCTTCTGCCTGTTTATCTGCCCAGCTGATCAGATTAAGGAGCAATCCCTCTGTTCCAAAATGATGAACTTCCTTTAGGTTTTATATAGTTTTAGGAGAGCTATTACTGAGTAGTAAGGGGTTTTCCTTCTATTTCTTCTCTCTTCCTCTCTCAGCTACATCTAAACCTCAGCCCTTCTCAAAGTCAGATGATTTCATTATGAAGGATTCCATTTAATGTTTTAGCTAACTCGCAGAACAGCTGGTCTTTAAATAATGACCTGAATAGAAACTGCACAAATTAAAGGAGTTTAAAGCATGTACCAGCACAGGGTTGTATGTGTGTTTATGCCCCAGTGTTTTTCTGCATTTTAATGTGGATTGGTGAAGTTGTGAAACTTACGATGCCGATTTGAGTGTTTATAGTAGAGCAGGCCAAATAGTGAACAGCTCAAGACTGGCACATCTGTAATGACTGTGTTAATATTGGGCTTTGACAGACCATTCACATTAAAGCACTGCAAGTATTGTTTATATTTCCAGAGACAAACGTGCCTTTGGAGATAAAACCCAAGTGATCAGTTCCTTCATTTTAAACAAGGAAGGAATTTTCTCTAATGAGAGCAAGACAGTAGTTCTTAAATGTTGGAAGGGAATTCATATTGACTGTGGGAGTCTTTTATTCCATTTGGAGTTTGTATGCAATCAAAAATTCAGTGTGAGAATGCTGTTTTGAGCATTTGCCTTGGCTCAGCATATGCAGTGATACAAGGGTTATGGTTTGGTGTGTTTTATCTTTCTAAGAAAAATCTGTAAGGCAGTGAAACCTCTGTGACTTGATCCATTGCCTGGTGGTAAGCCAGGGCAGATGTTGTGCTGTGAGTCTGGGGAACTTAGAGCAGCCACTGAGAGTGGTTGGGTCTTGTCTTTGGTCCCTGTTTGGTTTTGTCATTTGGAATAAAGCACTGAACTCATAGCCTGGAGGATGCAAATTCAGATGTTGCCATGGGCAGGGAAGAAGGCATTGGGAGCGCTGTTTTCCCAAGGCAGGTACTAATGCCTGGTGATTTGGGGTAAATGGAGCTAGGTAAACCTCCCCAGGCTGTGTGGTCCCCTCTTTGAGAGGTGAACAGTCTAAGTATGCTGAGTTTAAGAGTTCTGTAGGGGGCAGTTGAGACAGATTTAAGGAAATTAGGCAATTGGTATATGAATATGTAAATAAGATCAAAATAATGAGTTGGGCAATTGTGGGCCCCAATCACTAGGAAACGGGCTGAAATCAACAGCAGTCTTTGGTTTCGGTGGCCTTTGGATCAGGCCCTGTAAACTCAGAGCTCTTTGTCTTGCTGTGAGCCCTCTGTGGAGCCGCAGGGCTGACTGTGACCTTGGAGGGCAAATTACCTGTGGCTGATGCTGTGCCAGCACTGCCAAGGGCACTGTGGTGCCGGGGCTTCTGTAGTCACACGCGAGCCCTTTGATACAGGGAGAGCTTGGGGGGATGTTAGTGCTCTTGTAACATCAGTGGACACTGTGACAAGCCCAAAAGATATGCCACTGGAGTAGAAAATTAATTTCTAGTGTGGTGTCTGAGGCTGGCTAAGTGAGGCAGAGCTGGCCAGGTAACTTATGTCACGAGTAACCCCATCAGGATTCAGGGCTCCCATTTCAGTGACAACGCTCTGTGGTGATAGTGAGCAAATCGATAGCAGACTGCTCATCACTATAACTGTGTTTCGTGTCTTCTTCAGGAATTTGAGTGAATAGACAAGGATAGAGAGCTCATTTTGCCTCACTACTGATGAAAAGTTCTGGGCTGACCAGCCTGTGTTTTGAGGGGCTGAGAACATGGAATTGGAGAGCAGGGCTTCTGCAGTCTGTTTGGGTTTGTTCAAACCAGAGTTAGATGTTTCATATCTTCCAAGTGGAGTTGAAATGAATTTATTTTATTTGAAAGGATGAATATGATCAGACTGCTCTGGAACATCCAAGTTAGACTTCCAGCCCTGGAGAGCCAGCGGGCATGTGCTGAAGGTTCATGTTGGTTGGCTCTCTTGTCACAGCCTACTGTGACATGTATTTCATTGAAAACCACCCTGTCCCACTCTGATCAGGAGATGCAGTTGTCCCTGTGCAGGACAAGCCCAGACTTTGGTGCTGGCAGGGAGGGAAGGCTCTGGGACAGTGTGGCTCCTGCAGGAGGGCTGAGCATGTGGGAAACCACCAGCCCTTCCTTCCCTCTGACTCAGTGGGTCCAGCAGAAGGGGTGTAGAGCTGTGCCAGGAGGCCAGTGGTTGGAGACATGGCTTGCTGGGGTCTGGACCTCTTTGCCCAAAGCCCTAGGTCTGCCAGCTGGGCTCTTCCCTCTGACATTTCATTAATGTATCAAAAAATATACCAGATATTTCCATCAGTGTCTTTCCTCTCGAGTCACCAGGCCAGTGGACAGTCACTGGTTTTTATGGGAGGCAGGAGTCCCATTTTCATGCATGTCGAGTCTTCCACGTGCTTCAGTGTTTGTGGAGCTGCAACATCACCTGTCCTGATGACCGGCTGGACATCACCTGTCCAACTTGCAGCTTTGTTATATTTCCAGAACATATTTTTGTGCTGCTTGGTTCACGATGTAGGTGGCATTTTGGGAGTAGTTGATCCATGAAAGGAGGAGGAGGTCCAGCTTTTAACAGTGTTACCAGGAGGAGGAGTTGTACAGGTTACAATTATCTTTAGGAAACAAACCACCCTCTTTCAGTGCACAGCGGTGATCCAAAGGCCCCTAAAGATGGTTTGTCCCTGGCTGTGACAACAGGTACTCAAGGCTGCAGGTGCTGAGGAAAGCAGCCTTTGACTGACACTTGATGGAATTGCATGAGTCCATTTCCCTGCCCTACAGCTGTATGTTAAAAACTGGCATGTGTAAGAGAGAAGTGGAGTGTGGCACTGTGCTGCTGGGTTTAGAGGGAGTTTTAACATGGATTTCCCTGAGGGCTTGCTCAGTCCTTACTTGGGGATGAAGAATCATGTATAGGGCCTGGTCTAGTGAGCCCTAAACTGGTGACAAAAATATGTCACTAGACTGACATTCAACATCTGATATTCTGCAGCACTAGCAGGAGGTATTTTGTGATTATGATGAGCTGTGAGTACAGGATTCAGCGTGGGCAAACACAAGAGCCTAGCTCTAGTGGGTTGGGAACCACCTGGTGACCAACATCACAACCCCCTCATTGGTGGCCTTGTTTCCTTTCCTGGGTAACTTCCACTACAGTTTCCAGCTCAAAGTCAAGGCCGGATCCTTATGGAAGATATCCCTCCCTTTGCTCCTTATGTAAGCTCCTGCCCTTTCCATCTGAATCCTAGTTTCCAAAGGTGCTGGTGGGAATAGTGGACTAATACTTCCTGGGATCCTGGTGTCTCTCAAATGTATTTTAAAATTGCCAACCTTTGGAAGAAGTTCCAGCCTAGCTCGCAGCACTCCTCTGTGTGGTTTGGGATTTCACCATTTATGTGGGGCCTTTCAGATCTGCAGCTGAGTCTGTCAAAGATCGTCCCTTGCTCTGGGTGCAAGCAGCAGAGGAGTTGCCTTTGTGTTTCTCGGGCAGAAAAGTTGCCTCTGTGTTTCTTGGGCAAAGACTCCAACCTTGTTTCTACATGTAAGAAAGCCTGTTGAGATACTCTAGGCCAAATTCCTCACAAATCCTTGGGTGACAAGCAGATATTACACCTAAAGCAAGCATGATTTGATGCTTCATGCTTTAAAAAATATGCACGATTGTGTTAATTGTCCTGGTTATGTATTCCAGATCAGCCTCTAGCAATTGCTGTTGAGCTTCTGGATGAAGTTGGCATTTTATGCTTGAAACATTGCTCAGATTTGGAGCATAATGGTGAAAATAGCCTAGAAACATTTTAATCAACAGTTTAAAATCTCTGCATGGAGGAATCCTTCGTGAGGAGCAGGAGGAGAGGATTTCTGCTGTTGTGGCTGCTGTTTTTCTTCCTTGTGCTGCTGGAAGAGGGTGCTGGGGGTGGGCAACATCTTGGGAAGATTGAAGAGAATACAATGCAAAAGGAAAATGTCATTTGTTTTGGCCCAATCAAAATGTCACTCTGACCAACTATGAATAATTTCTTGGCAGCTGCTCAGTGTGGAGGCCTGCAATTAATGCAATCTATGCAATTGTTTGTGTTAATCACTTCTGTAGTCATTTAGTTTAAAGCATTTTTGATGTTAATATCCCTGATATTTCAGTTCTGTGTGTTACATTGTACCCAACAAGCACACCTCAGACACATAATGGCATGATACAGCTAAATAGAATGTATGATTTCTTGTAAGTTTTTGCTTGGATTTAGGCAGAGGTGAGCATTTGTAAATAATAATTGTGATCATTCCATTTGTTCTAATTAAACAATGAGGCATACTAGGAGTAGGGTAATCACGAGATAATCATATCCCTGGTATAATTGCCATGTACTGGGCACATCCAAGTATTTCTAAGCCTCCAAGCATGATTATCTTGTGATAACTGCACCCCGTAGGTTGCCCAATTTTCAGTCTAAAATGAAATGATTATCTTTTTTAAATGAACGAGAAGGGGGAAAACTGTCTTCCAGTGGGTGAGGAAATCAGGCAGAGCTCAGCAGGAGTTTGAGCCAAGGCAGGGGTGCCTGGTGTGAGAAAGTTCTGCCCTGGCTGGGCTCGCTGCAGTGCTGCTGCTCCTGCCCACTGGCTGCCATGGGGAGAGCTTGGACCTCTGTGGAGCATCCCAGCTGCAGCTTGCCAGGAACAGAAATGTCTGTGCAGAAAGAGGGACGGACTTTGGTCGTTGGTGTCTCAGAAATAATTTCCCTCTGGCAGTCAGTGCTTGAAGAGTTAGGCACACACTTGTGTGTGTGCAGACCCCGGCAGCACTGCGGGGGTGTGCGGGCAGAGGAGGGGAAGAGGGAGCTGTTCATTGCTGTTTGTCTGGAGCCATGCAGTGGGAACTCAGGAGCTGTGATTGCAGATGTGAGGACTCATTTGCCTTGCCCTATTCCTTCCCTGGGAACGCCCCCTGCTCCTCCTGGCAGTCAGGGACCTCTCTGGGGCATTTACTGAACACTTTGCCCTTTCCCCTAATCTCTTCAAATCTGATTTTTCTTTTTAAAAATACCCCTCCCTCTCCCTTGGTAGCTATGAAGGCAGGAGAGGATTGTCAGTGTCTCCCTGTCTGTTGTTTTCCCAGGGTTTTAATGCTGGCAGGGAGCAGGGGGTGTGTGGGGGCACCCCAGTGGGTGCTGTGCCCCTGTGCTCATGTGACTAACGCTGCTGCTCTCTGTCCCCATCAGTGCAACAATGACTACGTGCCCGTGTGTGGCTCCAATGGTGACACCTACCAGAACGAGTGCTACTTGAAACAGGCTGCCTGCAAGCAGCAGAGTGAAATCCTGCTGGTGTCCGAGGGATCCTGTGCCACTGGTAGGTATAGATCTAATATTTAGATTTAGATACATTTATATATATTATTACCCATTTTTAGATTACTCTAGAGATCACCTGTTCACATAGTAGGTGATTTTTCACTCCAGGCTGCCTGCCAACCCTGCCATGCCCCGCCCCAGGAAAATGGCTTGGGGATGGCAAAATTTGAATTTTTGCTTTGAATTCATTACTGGTTAATTTTTGGGGAGCATGAGAAGTCGCTGCCATCTTTCACTTTTAAGTACATTACTATAGGCTCACAGTCCCTGATACACAGTACCCCTGGCACTGTTTGGAAGAGTTCAGCACAGAAGTAGATTTGTTTTTTAATTTGTGTCTTGCACTCCTGATCTTCCTGTGCCCTGCCTACACTTCTGAGCTGTTAGGACAAGAGAACTGGTAGCAGATTAAGTGAGCAGATGTCTGATAAATGGGCATCTGGATTACCACAAACCTCTCCATAATCTGGAGAGAGAGAACTGGAGCATTATTGCCTGCAATCCAGTTTCTTGGGTTTTTCCTTATCCTTGTAGGGCCAGATCCCCAGCTGGTATGATTCAACAGACCACTGGTTGTAATGAGTCCTGCCAATTTATACCAGCTGAAGTTTTAGTCCAAAGCACACATAAGGAACAGGTCTGTGCCACAGGTGTTTTATTCTGTACTTGAGAAAACTGACTGGCGTGTGAGACAGCTTTGCTCAACTCTGAGCCTTGTGAGCTGTTTATATCTCAGCTTGTATGAAAACAGCTAGAAAGGTGAATGAGCAAAATCTGTCAGGAAAACCCAGTTGCTTCTGTGCAGGAGTTCTTGATGTTTTTCTTTCGTGCTCGGTATCTGTTAGAGGTGGGCAGTGAAGTTAACTTGAAAAGAGCAGGAGTAAGCCTTTGTTCTTGAGAGAGTTCTTTAAACTTAAAGCAGAATTTTTTCTTGGCTGAGGATGGAGGAGTCAATAAAAAGTACATTAGACAAACTTTTTTCAGTGCTGTAATTTCATGTTTCATACACCTGAGAGAAAATAAACTCCTTTCTCTGGAAATGTTGTTCTTCTCTGAAGCTGTTACCTGACAATTTTCAAGAAGAAAAAAACATATGCTGCAATTTTTTTGTCCATAAATTGGTATTAAATGGAGTTCGGGCTGACAAAGCCTACTGTGGTGTAGGATTTGTTCAACTTAGTAAATTCTCTCAGCAAAGCAACTGGTCTTTTTGGTTCAAACTTTTTGATTAAAGGGATAATTTCAGCACATTGCTACAACTTTTCTGAAACTTATTTGCCTGCTGGCAATGACTGTGTTGGCAGCATTCTCTTTGAAACACATTGTGGGTTTCAGAAACAGATAAGGAAAAAAATTATATTTTCTTGAAGTCTTGTTCAAGGTTTTTGGCCTCTTTTTCCTTTTCCCAAGGAGGAGCTCAGTGGAGAAGGGAACAGCCATTTCCTTTAGGTTTCCCCTGTGGGATGGGGCAGAGAGAGAGGATGCTGAAGAGCTCCCAGCAGAGACCTGGGCTTGTGGGAGAAGTGTCAGTGAGCAGTCCTTCTGGGCCTGAAGGGTAGGGCAGGAGGAGGAACACAAGATCCTTTTCTGCAGAGAGCCAGACACCATGGTAGATCACTGTGGCAGGCAGGTGCTCGTTTCTTTTTCTGTGCTGGGGAGATCTGGCACACCTGGAAAAGCAAAGCTTCCCAGAGCCATGAGGGCACTGCAGTACAGACTTTTCTTCCTTCTTTCCTCATTTGGGAAAGAGCATCAGGACCAAAGATCAGATCAGGAGAATTCAGGACATGGTCACTGGGAAAACAGTGTTATTCTGTTCCCTTTTTCAGCCACCTTTTGCAGCTGTCCTTTGCAGCCTTGCTGAATAAATCTACCATTTGAAGCAATTCTTGCAACCAATTATTTAGCAAAGGTTTTCCTTTTCTTTCTTAGTTTTGAGCAGGGATGGCATGTGCAAGTTCAGATCCACCAGACCTCGCTGTCAATAAATGAGATCTAACAGTTCATAGTGTATTTTCATCCCAAAGCAGCTGTTCCAAACTCTTTCTATTAATCTTGATGCTGATAAATGCATAATTGTTCCACTAAGGGGGAGGTTAGGATGGCAGCCTCCCTCCCTTCCCTGCAGAAGAAACTCCTCTTAGGCATTATTTTTGGTAGCCCTGTGTGTGTGCTTTGTCTTGCTTAGAAAGTTTCTTACTGAAGCTCTGGGCTTGGCAATTTTGTGATGTTGCACTTTCTAAATTTGTGACTCTCATCATTCCAGCCAGCAAAATGTCGAGCAGAGGGAAAAAAAAAGCACTCAGTTTTGAAACTCAGCAACAACCTTGAGAAAAATGACATTTTAATAATTTACCTGAAGACTTTGAATAATAGTAATATAATGGTTTATTGCAACTAGTTATAATTTGATGAGATGTCCTGTTTCCTAAAGATAATGATACAAATTTACAAATGGGTTTTAAAATTTCTCCTTGGTGAGGATTTAGTAGTGACCAACTGGAGGAACTTTGTGCTACTGTTGGGAGCAAAGATTTACTGGTCTAAGTACAACAAAACGAGGTAGAGACTTCTAAGGGCATTGCAGCATTCTGTGGCTTATGTTATTTTCATCTGATAGAGAGACTTTAAAGAAAAAAAAATAGAGACACAAGAAAGATGGCTTGAGTGAATTACATTCAGATTAGATCTCAATAATTTACCCAGGGATGCCATCAAAGGCGAGGTGCACTGTAGTACACTTCACTGAAGCCTTGCTTTGCATGCTCCCAGCACATAGTGGAGCACATGAATATAAATTCCTTTCTGCTCTTTTCTCAGATGCTGGCTCAGGATCTGGGGACGGAGGTAAGAGCCCTCTTTTAATATCTCTGTTCTAATGTGTGCACACTGTCTTCCACAATTTCAGATTGTAAGTGGATATACTTTGCAATCTAAGTTGTTGCACTACATACAGTCTTTTGTTCAGCTCTGTCTTTGAAAAAATGGTATTTTGCATTTCAGTCAAGCTGGAACCTAATCATGACATGCTGTTTTCTAGGGAAATTCAGAAATCTGTGTTACTTCTAATAGGACTTGGAATTATTCATAGGTTGTGCTAGGAGCTCTATCTCCATCTACTGTTACAGTTGCACTCATTTGTTTTATGTTTAGGGTAATATTTCTTTTGTTTTTTAAACATGAGCCAAACCCTTGGCTCCTCCTCACTGGAGGATTCAAGCCAAATATTTTGTGGTAGCAGAGAGCATTCTTTCAAAGATATGAAGAAATGTCACAGTGAAAGAACAATGTGTTTTTATAAGAACAGCAACAACAAAACTGAACATGGAAATAGCCTGAGCCCTTTGCTGGCATACAGGGGATACTGTAAAATGTAGGCAAACTAGCATTTAAGTAGGGGCTTATTTTATTGGTTTTTGGTTGGGTTTTTTGTTGTTGTTGTGTGGTTGTTTGTTGTTTTTTTTTTATTTCTTGGTGCAGTCATGATGGATTTTCTTGTCTGACATCAGTCTTTCTTGGAAGTACAAGTGTTGGGTCTGGGTAGTGCCCTGCCTTGGGGTAGGGAGTGTGACTTCTGGGGCTGGTAGGTCAGGCTTCTCTGGGGGCCAGGGCTAGTCTGGGTAGCTTGGGGAGGTTGTCCTGAAGAGTTCCCCTCATTTCTGCCCCAGCTCCCTGAGTAAGCTCCAGGAGCCCCTGGCAGGGAAGGACAAGCCCAGCATCAGGCTGGGAAGGTGCTGGGGCAGCCACGAGGAGCTGAGCCAGCTTTTGGTGTGACACGGACAGCAGGGCTGGGCTCAGACCCGGGTTTATGGCTACTCCTGGCTGGATTCAGGTTTTTCAAATACAATCATGTTACTTGGCAAAACATCCCCTGGTGCTTGTTTGATTTTGGTAACCAGGATATCGGTGAGTGCAGTGTGTATGGAAAGTATTATTTTTACCTGTGAAGTGGTCAGCAACATGAGCATGAGGCACTTCAAGGTGTCTGATTTTCTGACATCACACTCAGGCTGTTTTCTGGAACTCAGGGCACTTCAAGATGCTTCAAATTTGGCTCCACAAAAACCACAACATGAAATACTGCTGGCTTTTCCCAGCTATTCCTATTTTACTCTCAGGTTCTTTTAAATTGTCTTTTTAAACCATTACACCAGAAAAATACCTTGTTCAGTGCTTACTAGAAATCTACTATTTGATTTATATGTACAATAGGGTTTTCACACCTATGGTCAATAAATTGGTTTTCAAATGAAGTTGCACTAAATTCATCATGCATGTACTAAGGAAGACAGATAAAGTTTTCAGTTTGTTTTGTAATTAGGAGATGGGAAAACAAACTTGGTCACTTTCTGAAAGTCATGAATTCCATTCTCAGAAAGCACAGGAGTTTAAAGGCATGATTTCCAAAGCCTTTCATTTTACAAGCTTGGGTTGACAGACAATGAGCAGAGCAGGGCCTTGGGACTGACTGTGCAGATAGTAAGGAAGCAGATTTAGGAAGGAGACAGAACCAAACTGGTACATGTGTTTAAAGGTCTACAAAGCTGCCTTGTATTATTCAAGATTTAGTAGGCAGCTATGCTTTTCTTGAAGTACAAAAGTATATTTATGTGCCCAAAGAAGCTAAATCCAGACAAGTAAATGTTGTCACTACATCACTCTTTACTAGACATGGTCTTGTTGTAAAAACTGTAATAAATTTTGGATGTCATCACAGTAAGTCTTGTAAAATCCACTCCAGCAGTCATGAGTGGGATGTGTTCCTATGAGAAGCCCAAGGTCTTAGACAATCCTGTGTGGTTTCTGATTTTTCTTAATTTTTTTTTCTTTCTTTCTTATGCTTCTCCAAGCAGTCTTGGTTAACAGAATAAAGAGTGCAGCTTCTTTTTTAGCAAAACTCCTGCCATAGGGATGGCCCCAGCCAGCCAGCTGTGAGATAAGGGAACAACATTTTCAACAGACTTGTATCCTGTGGTTGGATGTCTTTGGTCTGATGGGGTACACATCTAGTAAGAAATTTAACTCAAGTTGTGTTGTTCTGGTTCTTAGAACATGGCAAGGGTCAGCTTGGAGGTGGTTTCCCCCGTGACTGACAGCAGTTCAGCTCCAGTAGTGCTGCTCCTTCAGTGGAGTTGTCACATGGAAAATGTAATGGCTAGAGGGCTCAGAAATAGCTGGAAAGGAGTTGGTGGGAGGACAGATGTAGATAAGCACACCATGTGGTCATACAAGCCTCCTTTCCTCAGGAAACTGGTCAGAACATGAACACGACAGCCAGAGGCTGTGTTTTGGTGCCTCTGTTTTCCTTTCAGGTGCTCCCATCTGGGTTTGTAGGGAAGTCTTCTCAAGCATGAACACAACAGCCAGAGGCTGTGTTTTGGTGCCATGTTTTCCTTTCAGGTGCTCCCATCTGGGTTTGCAGGGAAGTCTTCTCAATTTACTATGTAGGATTTGGGGTTTTTTGCTTTCCTGTCATGGAGGCTGAGATCAGAGGGGTCTGAGCTTTTCAGCACTTTAATGATCTTGAGGGCTTTCCAGAGGTGATTTGATCCTCCTTTATGCAGCATTAACATACAAAACTCCCCTTATTTGTAAAGTGATGAGGGAATCTTAATCTCATTTGATGACTGAGCCTTCAGCACACACTTTTGGGGATCTCCAGTAGATGGGTAGGACAGTAGGTGTTCAAATTTCTTACTGCAGAAGACATTTTTCCCTGTAAATGAAGATGAAAAATGCAGAATCAAGAGCCATTTCAGTGTTTTGATTGCAGAAGCTGGGAGTGTGGTGTGGAATTATTTAAAAACCCACATCCCAGAAAGATACTAATCAGAAAGCCAGAAAGGATGAATGTGAAAGACTTTATACAGAGAGTAATTTAAAGAGATTCCATTCATTTTCATCTATGCCGTTCTCTAGACAACTGGGTTTTTTTAGAACCCAATGATTCATGTTTTGGTCTTGAGCAGCTTTATAATGAATTCTTGCTCGTTTCCTGGCTTCCTTCTAACAGCAACAAACTCAAGATGCAGTATTTCATTATAGCTCTTAATGGGCTAAGAACATCTCTCCTCGGTTTCATTTTCACGCTGAGCACTCCTTTGCCCTGCCTGCATTGTCTGCACTCCCAGCTCTGTTGATTGGCTTTCATTCACAGTCTGGTGGATTCACTGAAGGTGGCTGTCACCCTGGGTGTTGCTGTGACCCCCGGCAGGGCAGTGCTTAAACACCTACCTTGAATTTGTTTCAGAGCCTCCTTCAATTTCCATTCAAGTCCAAATGACTTCAGTGGGAATTCTGTGGGCCTTGGGTACACAGATCCTATCCTAGCTTGATTTTTATGTTAATTCTTCATGATCTAGACTAAAGTAAAATTAAAATAAAGCAACCAAACGAGTGATAATTCACCAATATCATCATCGCCATTTATTTTACAGTAGCATCTAGAGGTGCTAATTCTAAGATTAGGACTCCAGGGTGGAGCACCCTGACACTGTGAAGCAGTTCTTCACAGCAGGGGAGAGAATAAAAACTGTGAAGCAGAGCTGGGTATTTAAGTTGGGCAAAGGCTCGAAGCTGCATCATGTTCCAGTGTCTGAACTGGGAATAGCACATGTTGCTTCAGAGCCAGCACAGTGCTGGGGATTTTGAGCCCCAGTGTTTGTCAGCAAGCCCATGTGACATGCAGAAAGAATCAGAGATTATACTGCTCTTAAACTTACTCCTGATCTGTTAGACAAACCTGAAAGGCAACAACCTTACAAGGCACCTTCTTTTCCCCCTCTCTCTGCCTCTCTTGCTTTGTGTGTGTATTTTAAGGATGAGCATGCCTTGTTTGTTTGTTCATTCTTTCAATTTATCCCTTCAATCTTAGCCAGAAAAAAACGAAGCCCTGCAGCTTTTTGTAGGTGCCAACATGTAGATTTAATGATAGATTTGGTATTCTGGTCTGCCTTTCCTGTTGACTTAGAGATGTGTGAATAAACACATACATATTATAAATCTATATGGAGCAGCAGTCATCTTGAAACACTAACCCAGAGAAAATAGGCAGGGAAAAAATTAACACTTTGGAGCCCATGTTATTTTTTTTAAGGTAAACCATAGTGCAGCATGTATATGCTTTTTTTTCCTTTAAACAACAGGTAAATGGCTACTTTGACCCAATTGCCTTTGCATTTTCTCCATACTAGTTTTGAATAGCTTACTTGAATTCAGCAGCTCTGCTGCTTTTCCAGTGATTTCCATTTCTGCTTTATTACAGTGTTGATTGATGGGCAGGGCTATGCAGAACACGCTGAATATTGCTGTAAACACTGTCCTAGCAATCACACTTGAGCCAAAATACACCATAAAACCTGGAGTGTATATTGGTTTGAATGAAGCAGTGTATAAAATGCAGTGCTGATAAACACACACATACACACATGTTCTCAGTATAGGGGAGAATACTCTGACTGTTCTAGTTTAACCTTGGAATGAAATATTTTGAGATACAGATTCTTTTCCTGGGTGTAATAGGTGATTCAAGCTTCTGTCATGTGAATGCAGAATATCTGCTGACCCCACGTGCGATTGTCAGCTGCAATAAGGAAATAGGAAACTTCTTCCACTCTAATTTGATTTGGGAGATATAATTTAAAGCAGCATCAGAAGGTACAGAATCAACTACAGCAACGTGCACCGACTGGGTAAATACCTCTGGAGGGAATGTTTCAGTCTTAAATGATTGACCTGACTGTGGTTGGTCAAATATGTCTCCTTTGTTAAAGGGGTTTTTACCTTGTTAACCTCAGCATGGCACTGAGCCCAAACCAATAAGCTCTTTGAAAGGCCGGGTTTATTAG